TGCAAGAATGCCAAATTGACAGGGCAGAAAATGCAGAAGACAACAAGAATGTCCTATTTAGCTAATATTAGATAATGCATAACAAATGTCTTGGAGAATACTAACTTGATTAACATAATGAATGAACTTGTCCATTTGCCGGAACCATGTATGTGCATATTGATACTTAAAATCTGTTCCCATAGTCCACATTACATGGTTTGTGCGAGTTATGTTAGCCTGAAAAAGTCAGAGAAATTTTTGGTAAGTGTCAAGTGTCAACCTTTCCTAATACAACAAACGCAAATCCAAGTTCATAACAATGGAATATACTAAGGGGCAGAGCAGACAAGAATTTGCAGAAGTCCTTGATAAGTAAGATCTTGGTTCTAAAACATTGACAAAGGCCAGCAACAGCCTCTACCAAAATCAACTGCATTGAGCAATTTCATTAATAAAGGGGAAAAGTAATTCCAGTCATACAAGATAATTTTGTATCTTCGCCAACCAAGCATATTCATATAAATATATAATAGCACAGAAAAATTGGTTCCAATGCCTATCTGAGACTGGGAAAGTACAGTTGCAGACAGAAACCAGCCCAAATGAAGCTGAACCTGAAGCTGCAGCAGAAGTCTTAAAGACATGCCATGCCAATGTAATTTTAATTAGTAAGCTTGAGATATCACTAATAAAAGGCACCTTACCTGGGATAATGCAGCTGCTACAAACTCATTCACGCGCTCAGGGACGTTGTAGTCAAATAACTCCATGTTATCCTTTAAGTGAAGACAAGAACATATAATCACATTTTGCTCAAACATATGAACTAAAAGCTTGTTAATAATCTCTAACAAAGTATTTACCTGGACAATTGGGGAATCATCATTAACTTCATAGTAGAAATTACTGGGAGGTTCATAATTCTCAGGGAATGCACCAGCAAATATCTAAAGAAAAGTAATCGATTAACTTAGAGAATTTAACCTAAAGTCAAGAACCGAGATAGTGAATAGTAATCGCACTCATTCTTAACATCTGAACGAACCTAATTACACTATCCACCCACCTGTGCTGATGAACTTAGACTCTTAGAGCCCCGCCAGACAACTTCAAGGCTCTTCTCATCTTTCCTTTTAGCTCTGTCTTGGTAGTCAATTCGAGCAAAGAATAGTGAATCAAATCCAACCTATGCCAGCTTGTAATTAGCAGATTGGTAGACAACGGATGGAGGACAAATGTGTTCTACTGACAAAGTATTGTCTAATTGAGAAGGAAAAAAAATTGTGTCGACTGGACAAGTGTTTGACATATCAGTGACGACAAGAGAAGCGATACCTCTGCACTCAACAAGTAAGCCTGCACTGCAGAATGTCCAAAGGGATCGATCTGCCAACCAATCCTAGGGGTCACATTAAATTCGCTTTTGATAAATCGATGTCCAAGAGTTGTTTGATCAATCATGTCAATGTAATGTGTGGCTGCCTCGTCATGCATGCACATGCCCCCATTTCTGCAAGTCAAACATCATATGTCCCACAAAAACTTAAATACCATAATCCCAGAATTTCCCCCAAAATGAAAAATTCATAACCACAAAATGATAACAAAATGTTAAGCAAACTTGAGTTTATTCCTGTACATTAGCTCTAGTTGACCCGAGTTGATAAGCTGCTTCACTTTCTCTTGAACTGCCTCACTCTGATCTCTCCACCACCGCTGGAAAAATGCCTGTAATCAATCACAGAACAATGTTTTCCAATCCTTTCAAATTTCAAATACAAAGTACACGGAGATTTAGAAAATAAAAAAATAAAAAGAAAGGAAAAAAATAGTTGCCTGTTCAACATAAATGAACTTCCTGTTCTTATCAGCTAACAGTGCCGGCACTATAGAATCCAAAACATTCTGAACACAAGCTCCCTGCAAATATAATCAAACAAAAAGAACAAAAAAAGTCAAATATTGATCAATAAATCCAAAAAAATAAAACTTTTTTCAAAAATAAAGTGAAAAAAAAAGGACCTGAATGGAATTGTTAGAGCCGACATAGTATTGATCAATAGTTTTCAACCAACCAACGTCATCGTGCGTATGAGCCACCAAATGAACATTAAGTTTCCCGGGAACTATCTTCGACGTCGTATTGTAAACCATGTACTTAGATTCCACCTCGCACCAGAAAATACACATCAATGCAATCAAAATCCACGCCCCAGTCGCCATGGCTGGCTCACACCTGCGCTGACGGAAAACCGGTAAACTCAGCTCAGTCTCCTACGTATAAACAAGAAGGCAAATCAAGCGAGGATTCCAAAGAAGAATTGGATCAAATTTTGTTGTCTAATTATTTGTATAGTTGTGGAAAGTAAGAAGGTGAGTGAACAGAGCCAAAGAGGTCGCTTTCGAAGACGTGGAAAAAATAAAAAATAAAAAAACCTTAAGGGTTCGTCAAGAAACGTTTCTTGAATAAGACAAAGAGACGTCCTCGGTTTTGAGACTTGACTGTTTGTGCGTGGCTCTGAGAGGGCTTGAGCTTATTTTCTCTCCAACTTCTTTCAGCTCCGGGTGAACAGTGAGTCGGTGATTCTTTCGTTTTTCTTCCTTTTCAAGGTTCGTTCGCGGTTAATGCGCTGGCAGTTTAGAACGGTCACTTGGTTCACTTCCAATCGCTGCGCGCCACGTATGTACTTTTGAAGTGTGTTTGGCGCGACGCCAAGGCTGTTGTCGGGATTTTCACTGTTTCGGAGGGTTAAAAGTTTGACACCTCATATTAACTAACAGCTTCTATTTTTTATTTTACTCTACAAAGCTAGCAGCCAAATCTTTTCGATATATAAAGGAGATATTGAGTTACACTATGTCGAATTTATTAATTTTATATCATTTTATAAATTATTAATTTTTTTATTCATCGTGTATATAAAATTTTAAGTTTTATATTTGTTAAAAATATTATTTTTATATATTAAACAGTAAAAATTTTATTATTATCAAATAAATAATGAAATATTTTTTATTAAATTAAAACCTAATATGTATGATTTATTAAAACATAAAATCAAACAGATAGAAGAGTTAGATTAATAAAATATAAATAATATAAAAAGATAATAAATTTAAAACTAATTTAATGTTAAATCGATTTAGTTGAAACTTTTTTTCACGTGCTTGTACATATAAATACATATATATATATATATATATATATATATCTGTCTGTCTCGTGAAGTGTAATTAAGGATTGCGAAGGAATAATAAAAAACGCCTTAAATCAAGATGGAGCCCACAGAAATCAAGGGGGGTCAGCTCTATCATATCCACAAAGATAAAAAAATTTTATCAAAATCTTCATCACTACCTTCACAGTAGACACGTAGCCAAACCTCTCCACACCGGCCGGAGAGACGAATCGAGGGACTCAGGGAAAAAGAAAATTAAATAATTCAGTCAAAATTATGGTGTCTCTATCTTCTCACATTCCTTTCCACACCCACCCCAGATTCTGCGCATTCTCTTCGAAACTCCCCAACAAACGTAAAACGACGCCGTTCAGGACCACCATAACTACCACCGCCATTCCCCCTCCATTCACTGCCGCTTCCGTTACCGACCTCTCCGCCGTGGAAGGTACCACCATTGCTCTCATAGGCGGAGGTTCCGTCGCCGCCCTAGCCGCCGTTCTCTCCCTCACTGACCCCGAACGCCGACGTCGCCTCCAAGCCGAAGAAGTCGGCGGCGGCGACAAAGAAGTCGTCAAAAGCTACTTTAACAATTCCGGTTTCCAGAGATGGAAAAAGATTTACGGAGAGACCGATGATGTCAACAAGGTCCAGCTTGATATTAGGCTGGGGCACTCGAAGACAGTTGAAAATGTGATAAAAATGTTGACTGATGAAGGCTCGCTGAAAGGAGTGACAGTTTGCGATGCCGGGTGCGGGACCGGCTGTCTCGCGATTCCCTTAGCGAAAGAAGGGGCTGTTGTTTCGGCTAGCGATATTTCCTCTGCCATGGTGGCTGAGGCTGAGAATCAGGTCAGTAAGATGGGCAGTTAAACTGTCATAACCGTTTTTTGTAAAAAATGACTGAAATTTTTGTTTGAATACCGGTCTTATCTTACGCATTGTTTGGATAATGGAGTTTTAACTGATGAATGCTTAGTGGATAATTCAAATTAAATGTTTATTTCAAAGAACAAAATGCAAAATTGTATATTGTTTATGTAATTGCAAAGAATGTTTTTGTAGTTTGTTGATTTCGAGTTGCGGTCCTGAATTGTGTAATAATATAATGCAGGCGAAGGAGCAGTTAGTAGTAGGGAATGGTGATATTGCGCCGGTTATGCCAAAATTTGAAGTGAAGGATTTGGAGAGTTTAGATGGAAAGTATGATACTGTGGTGTGCTTGGATGTTCTAATACATTATCCGCAGAGTAAAGCAGATGGAATGATTGCTCACCTTGCTTCACTAGCTGACAAGCGATTAATTTTGAGCTTTGCACCCAAGACATTTTATTATGATCTATTAAAGAGGATTGGAGAGTTGTTCCCAGGGCCATCTAAGGCGACAAGGGCATATCTTCATGCAGAGGCAGATGTGGAAAGGGCATTGAATAAGGTTGGGTGGAAAATAAGGAAGAGAGGGCTAATCACTACACAGTTCTACTTTGCAAGACTCGTTGAGGCCGTTCCTGCCTAACGGGAGAGAGGTTAGATTTCATTTTTGCTTTGTTTTACTTCTACTGGATAGAAATGTCATGAAATTTTTCTCAGGTTTTCTTAGCCCTGATTTTCCTTGTAAGTCGTTATTATATTTGTGTGTCTATGTGATTAAGTGTATATTTGATGTCCTTGTATCTACTTCTGATACTTGTTCAAAATTTTGTTTGGTTTTAATGATTGACCATGGTTTATTTGATGATATCAACATATTTTGTCTGCATGCTGCGATATAATGTTTTACTTTCTATTTTCTTCAAGCCGCACCTTAATTGTCTGAGTACAAATTTTTGTTAGATTTTAAATGTTTGATCATGTTTCATGTGATGATGTCAGTTATGGCAGAGTGCTGCAATAAAATGTTATCCTTTTTTTTTCCTTTCCTTCAAGCTTGATGCATAATTATTTGAGTACAATATGGTAAATTTCTATAATTTTTCATTTCATTGTTGTCAACTTGACTGGAAGAAGATATGTGAGAAAGTCTAAACAAGTCTCCAGGTTTTTAAACAGAATAGATATGGCTATCCATTGATCAACACTGCCAATGAGGCTTAAAGGCTTCAACTTTCTTTGCTAGATTCATAATGACTCGGAAGAAATTAAACAAGAAAACTGTAACCTTAGCAATTCATTATAGTACATTAGAGTGAAAAAAAGAGTCTCCAAATTTAGAGAACTGCATCTGGTTTTCATAAATACAAGAAAAGCTTAAGACTGATCTGCTCTTACCTTGTATCTCATTTCAGTCCTAAACTCTGCCAATGATGATTGGCCAAAGAAAAACTATGGAAGTAATGCTAGGAAAGAAAATTAAAAAGGCTGGATGTAGATAGCAAAGCTTTCATGGGTCAACAATATGACAAGAAACTTAAATAAACCCAGAAATCATTTCCTTTTTGCTTCACTGTGTTGCGGGAAGCTAGGTCTATTATCTTGGTTTCATTTATAACTTATTGACTATTCTTAACAGCACATCTGTAAGCTTATTGAGGGCAGCAACTAAGCTATCAGCTTGCTCCTTCCTTTGGTCCCTATCTAGTTGGTAGTTTATGTTTTGAGATTCAAGCTGAGAACTTAGCATATTACTGCTCCTTTCTAGAACCTTGGCCCAATTAATGTCCTCACTTCCATCTATTGACAACCGCCTCCGCTTCAGCCCCTTCTGAATCATAGATCCTGTTCCAGCTGTTGAACCTGGATCCTTTTCCTTAGCTTCACCTGCAGAATAGAAGCAAAAAAATAGTTTATTCTTTGTTTGTTTCTATCTCTTTGTAGTGATGATGAGGGATTTGCTTCAGTCTTGTAACTCTCATAAATTGAAATTGAAGCTGGTTAGTGTATTGATCAAGTAATGGAATGTTACAATATTTAAATACAAACAACAGCTAAAGAAGGACAGGATGGTTGAACACTGAAACTTTGAATTATGAAACTTGGTTACCTGAAATTGGAGACAGATTACCATCTGTCTTTGCAGGACTCCTCATTGCAATAGTTTCCTTATCATTTTCTAGCCCAATTTCCTCATCAGCTTCTTCATCTTCATTTTTCTGCTCTTCCTCTGCTGTTGCTGCTGCCATTGCTACTTGATCTACACTGCTGCTGTCTATTTCTGTCATGGCCGTAACATGTGCCAGTGGAGTTGCGGCCATAGGAAATTCCCTTCCATCCAAGATGTCATAAACTTCCCTGTCAAATAAACCAGGCAATTTTCTTTCTCTTCTCGAATTACTTCTCATCGTCCAGAATGATTCAGCCCCTTCCTTTATGTGTGACTCCCAAGTCTTAATTTTCTTGAAATCACCAAGAAGATTACTCCATCTTTTCTGGCATTGAACCGGTTCCCGACCAACACCGTGCTGTTTACAATACGAAGAAACTGAATCCCACTTTGGTTCATTCTGGTCTGACGAAAAGATTGAGAATGGTATACTTCTCGCTCGTGCTCTGTTCTCTACAGCAAGCTTGGCCTGTATGAGCACAATTGTTTCTTGTCTAGTCCATCGAGTATGTCTTGTATTTTTCTTGCTGTCAGGGGCATAAAATGATTGTTCCTTTGCTTCATCAAGTTTAGAACTTGCATTCTCCTGCATGTTAATTGAATCTAGCCCCGTCATAGATGGATTGTCACAAGCGAAAAGTACCAGCTATTGAGGACGAAAGTGCTTTATATGAATGGTTTGGTAAGACCAGTTTGTTACAACCTATCTACTGGAAAAAGAAGTCAAGGGTGTATTTTGGGCGTTTAGGGTATTAGGTGGAGACGGATTGGGGCCTAAATCTCAAATATCCTTTTCATAACCAAAGAGTGTATGTCATTGTTATATTCTTGCCATCTAAAGAGATTTATTCCATATATGGAACCGTACCCTCCCTGTAAGTGATACAGTGTCCGAATAGGGGGTTCTCATATATAGAAAGTAATCAAAACAGCAGCCTGCCTCTCCTTTAACGTAAAATATATAAGGCCAGTAATGTAACTTTCTATGGAAAGGTCTAATACTCTGCATAATCATTAAGCATCTACCATAAAGAGAAAACTGCCTCATGGTAATTCTCCAAAAAGAGAACCTTTTTTTCTGTGGCACTAAGCCCATTCCCACTCCCTCAACCTTTCCAATGCTAAGAAAGTTGCCCGTATCTTGTTAATTATTATGCTTTGGTTTTTTAGTTTAGTTTATGATAACAGGCGAAACTGGACTGTAAAAGAAATCCCCAATTAGTTTGGGTATTTATCCCCGATTATAGTTCTGCATTCGGCAATGCTATGGCAGCATATGCTTCTTTCGTGGGGACTTCGGATAATGGTATGGCGATCATCCCCTTTCATATCAGGTCATAATACATTCATCAAAGGCACGTTATTATTGTATTTTATGAGCTTTTCCAATGCGCCAGATGGAAAAAAAGAAAGTAATTTAACTTTAATAAATTAATGAATAGCATGATTATGACAAAATTGAGCTTATAAGATAAGGGTTGCCAACGCCCATCAGTTCTTGTGGAACTAAGGAATCCTAACCTCCTTTAAATTATTTAAATACTTTTAAAAAAAATTTATTATTTCAATCAAATTTTTATATTTCTATTTTAAATCAAATAAATTTTTATTACTAAAGATTTAGTAGCTGTTATTAATCAAAATATTTTTTATTAATATATATTAATTATAATATATTAACATATTACGTGATCATCGCATAGAGAATTGTCATTTTGATCTATAACAATTAATCAATTATTTATCATTAAAGATTATTTGATTCAAACTAAAACTATAAGTACTTGATTGAAGTAATTAAAAATAATTATTTATTTAAAATTTGCAGAATAATTTAAATTTTTTTAAATATTATACTATTTTCTTTCTTTCATTCAAATATTACTAAACTTTCAATTTCCTTAATTACATAGCATTTGATAACACTTCCTCTCTTTTTTTTGTATAATTTTTTAATATCAAATTTTTTTAGTTAAAAAATATCCTCAAGACTCAAATATAAATATATTTAAAAAAATCTATAAAACTATTATTGATACAAATCTTTAAAGATCTTTTATTTTTAAGATCATTGACTTGTTATTAAAAAAAAATAATTAGAGCGAGACTAAAAAACGGCCCATAATGTAGCCCAACAAACCGCAGTCCAACCAGGCCCAAATCTGTGCTTCTGGCTCAAATTCCCGCGCTTTTCTCCTACCTCATCCGATGATCTTCCCTTCAATCAATTCTGTGAAGAACAGAAAATTAAAACCCTAGCTTTTACAATGGAAATTGATGAAGATAGAAGCGATCTCGAGAAAGAAAGAGAAGAACAAGACGAAGAAGAAGAAGACTCAGTTTTCGATCTCTTGAGAGATCGGTTTCGACTCTCCGCAATTTCCATCGCCGAAGCCGAAGGTCCATTTTACTCCCAAATCCTATCCCTCTTTTTTATTTTGGAGAAAGGAAAAGCTAGATATCTAAAATTCTTACATTTTATGAGTTTTATGTTAAATTATGAGCGGAATTTCTTAATTTTGACTAAATTGAATTCAAATCTTCATCTGATTCGAGCAGCGAAGAGAAACGGTATGGAAATTTCTGAACCGATAGTAGCTTGTATTGCCGATTTGGCCTTCAAATACACCGGTAAAACTTGTCGCTTATCACTATTTACTTTTTAATTTTTTTCTGTTTTTTCGTTTATCATTTTTCTTTTATGTTATTTGTACTTTGTTCTTTGAATTTCGAACTTCTTAAAATTTAAAATCCCTTTTTTAACGTTGAGTTTCTTCTATAAGCAATCACTTGATTAGATCAGTAATACAGCTATTTTATTGGTTAAAATGGTGTAGCTGAAAGGAATGATAGATTTAGATTTTTATTGTCAATTTGCAGTAGAGGCAATCTCGGGGGTTATTATTGCAATTAGATGAAGAATATTTATGAGCTAATTATTAACAATTTACATTTTTTTCTGCAATTGAAAAGGCCTTAGTTACAACTTGGTTGTATAGCAATCTTGGTTGCCCTGATGTGGTGAACACGCTCGTAATTGTGGAATTTGGTAACTTTTCAAAAAAAAAAATTGTGGAATTTGGCATGATTATCATTCAAGTCTTGGATTGTGATTTTATATGCAGCATTCTCACTGTACCTGGTGAAAATATAACAACAATCCATGACCATTTTGCATTTCAGTAGGTGACAGTTTTGCTTGTGCTACTATCACCGTTTATATTGTTTGATATTAATGTTACCAAAAGTTTGCTTGAATTAATGAAATGTGCAGCTGTTTGAATTGCAGGACAGCTGGCAAAGGACCTTGAACTATTTGCACACCATGCAGGTCGTAAATCTGTGAAAATGGAAGATGTCATAGTCTCTGGTGAGTGTTTATGGTTCACGAGCTATTGCTGTCAGTAATGTCATACAATGTTATTGAATCATTTCTTCTTTTGTGGTATTAGAGCTGCAATCGTGTGCCCCTTCTAAGAAGTGATTTATTTGAAACAGAGACAGAGAGAGAGAGTGTGCCTGTTTGGTATTGAGAGGTTAGAAATAGCAGTGTTTTATTTGTTCAGATTATAGAGACATAAAAACCTTTTTGCTTCGATTTCAGCTCATAGGAATGAACACTTATTTGCTGTATTGATGTCCTTCCGCAATAAGCTTAAAGTGAAAGAACCCCAATCTGAAAGGAAGAGGAGGAAAGGATCTAGAAAGGAAGACAAAGCTACTGACAGTGTGGTGCATGTTCCTGATGTTTGATTCTGGATTTCTATCGATAGGGAAGTTCTCATGGCATGTTATGGATAAGCAACTCTATCTGCATATTAATATTGGACATTACTTATAGCCAATACACATTAAAGCTTCCAGAAATATGTAAAACTTATCTTGAAAGGTAATTCTAGTTGTACTATAATCTATCACTAATTGGCCATCAATATCGAATTTATGCATCCTTCTGGTTTTTCTGCATGAAACTTTATATTTGCTGACTGTTGAGCTTGATATAGCTGGTAGAAGTTTACTCTGTGCCCACTTCTGCCCATCTTTAATAAATTTCATTGAGTTTCAGCTCATTCATTCTGGGAATCATGACTTCAATGCCCTTGCTAGTACAGGCAAAAGAAATGAATTCTTCAATGAGTTATTCTTTCAACTCGTTCCTTTTGGTCCCTTACCCCTCCAACCTGTACTCTTCTGTGGTTATATATCTGAACTGAGCAATGGTAGTTAGGTCACTTACCCCCCCCCCCCCACCCCACCTGTACTCTTCTTTTCCCGTTCGGGTTGAGAGTTTGAGAGAAATTAAGCTCAAGCTTCAGAGTGGCAACATTATACAGTAATTTATAAATAAAGGGCCTTTAGCCCAAGCACTCAACTGGGGTTTTCGTACTGTAGTTAAAAGGCCCACCTAACCTGCTGCAGTCTTAAAATGGTTCTCTGTCCATAGTTTCCATTTTCACTAGGTACTTGTATACTACCAACTCTTAAATTGAAGATGCATGGCATTCTTACGTTGATACGGCAAATAATATTAGCTGTTAATGCAAGTTGCAGCATTGGCTTCTGATGTCTGACCTCTATTGATTCCTTTATGTGCTTCACTTTATAAACTTCTCTGCCTCTGAAGTCTGAAAGTCTTGAGTCGTGGAATTATCAGTAGTTACTTTTATCCCGGACTGATATTAGTGGGCAATGATGTTTGAGTATCTCTGGAATCTTTACACTTCCAACCCCATGGAAAACGTTAAAAAAAATTTCACTAACTCCAATAAAGAAAGGCGGGAGCGGGAAGGTTGTTCAAGTGGTTTTCAGTTACGCGCTCAATCAGGTGCAGGTAAAAAATATTTTGGAAATTTTAATTAGAGAAAAGATGCGTTGGCGTAGTTGGTTGGTTGGGAGGGTGACGAAACGAAACTGAATTATATTACTTTTTTGGCAGCGTCTTACAGTGAGGTCTGATCCAAACTTTTGTCAGACTGGATATTTTTGCAGCTTTTCCTTCCGGTACATGCCACGCGCCCTCAGAAACTGGTCATCGCTTTTGCTTACTTGCTTTCCTGGCTTTGCTTTGCTTTGCTTGCCGGAACCAACTTCCATTTGTTCTTTCTTCACTTTGTGTACCCGACAGGAAAACCAAAACATGTTCCAAACCACACGCGCATTTGTCAATGCTTGGAGTTCAAATGTTGGCTTTTCAGTTTTCTTTTCCTTTCTTTATTTTTTTTTTTGACCTTTCACCAATTCACGTTTGTCGTGATCTTAGCTGAAGTTTCGGTCGAGTTAACGTCTTGGGTCCCACTTACGGTGAACTGAAACTGAACTCCGATGGGATGAGATAGACGCCTCTTCCCTCCACAGCACATACACCCCAAGGGGTCGGGGATGAGAAAGCATTCTTCGTGGGCCATTTTAGTGTATAGGAGCTTACCCTATTTCATGTCTTCGTACACTTCAAAGCTCAAACTACCCAATTTTGATAGCTCCTATTGAATTTAAAACAAAGTGACATTTTTTTTGTCTTTTTCCTTTTATTTTTTTTCTCTTTGTGGTGGAATTTATACTATGATGTAAAAAGTTGAGAAACAAAATCATTGTTTGGGTACTTATAATGATGCTTGAGTGTGTGAAAAACTCAATGCATCCATGGAAAAAGCCGCATGGTACAATACACGTATGATATGTAAACTAGATTGTTGGAGGAGAAGAGTGTTTGATTACTCTTTGCATTGCCTTTAGCAAAGCATGTTGGAATATCTTAGCGTCTGTAAAAAAAACAAAAACAAAAACTTTATGTGTCAGGATGTAAGTCCTGTCACCCAACACAAACCAATTTGACTTTGTTAGTGATTAATAAATATTATTACCCCACTAAACACATTCATTAAGGGGAAATGGTATGATGATTAAAATTCCAAAGTTAATAATTTGTCATTGCTTAGACGACAATTTTGGAGTAGCCCATCATCATCATGGTATTGGTTCACCATCAGTCAAAGTGAAAAGATTACAGATTAGCTCAATGTCTTTTAACATTTATTCATTGAAGAATCTGCATTTACATTGTGCAATAAAAAGGCATTGGGATCTTTGGAAATAATGCATATACCTTTTTCACTGTTTTGCTTTTAAACACCGTCAAAACAAAAACTCACTGTGACAGATCTATCATTTCTTTTCTTTTTCTTGCTCCTACCTCCTCATCAGGAGTCAAAAGAAGCAAATTTTCAAGCTGGAGACCGCCATGACTAAGAAAAGCTATTCTCCTTTATGAAAACCTTCGCCTCTCTCTCTCTCTCTCTCTCTCTCTCTCTCTCGGTCAGTTTTCCTAACCCGTCACCTCTTTAATCTGAACTAAAACAGTTTGACCGTGCAAATGGAAGGAAAGCCCATATCTTCGAACGGGCAGGACTCGTCACCAACAAGCTTTCCACGTGGCTAAATTTTGTTATCCCCAATAAAAAAAGAAGAACCTCAACCTCTGTCCTTGATCCCTCCCATAAATGATGCCCCATTCGGCCGTCACCTTCATGCATGCAACAGCTGTGGCCTATGGATCAAAACGGCCATCATCACACCTTTACCACGTGAATCCCTCTGCCTCTTTAAACGTCAGCTCTTTTGCCCTTTTGTTTTCTTTCTTGTTTTTGCTCGTCGGTCGTTGCCTCTTTCTCATTATTATTTCGCCCTTATATGTCACCATAGTAAGGCCTCGGTTTGCCTAGCAGATGTGCTAGAAGCTGCATTACACAACATGCATGCTTTCTTAATGTGTTTGTTTCATTAAATATTTTCTTTTGTTTATTGCCAATAAAGAAAATATTAATTGAAAGAATTATGTAATTAATGTATTGTCTATTTTTTAATTTGACATGACAAATACATTTAAAAGGAAAAAATATTTCTTAAAATAATAAATTAATTAATGTTGACAAGTGTCAATAAATATATAACGTGTGCAAAGTAATTTGGTCCATTATACCTAAAAACTAAATAGATTAAATATTTTTAAAAAAATTAATCACAATTGACTAAACGTAAAAGAAGACCTAATTGATCAAACATATAATTAGTTTGATAAGTTTGGTTTTGAACTAATTGATCAAAATTTTATCACTTTTTTTTTACAAATTATAATATTAAAACTTATGAACTTCATCTATAATTATAAAATATATATACAAATTATGTATAAATTAAATATATGTATATATATGATATGTTACTTTATTATATATATGAAATTAATGAAGCAACATATATGTTATAATATTTTAATTTTTATATCAAAGTTTGTATAAATATTAACTAATTATAAATAATATGTTATAAAAATTAAGATGATAACTAATAAAATTATTAAGTGTAATTATATAAATAAAGTTTATTATAAGTTACTGTGTTGCTTATGTATAAATCAATAATATGTCTGTATATAATATATTACTTTATTATGTATATATAAAATTAATGATACAACTTATATATTATAATGCTTTATATCAAAATTTGTATAAATAAAATATAATTATAAACAATATATTATAAAAACTAGAGTGATAATTAATAAAATTATTAAGTATAATTATATAAATAAATATTATAAATTATAGTAATGTTTATGTATAAATTATATATATATATATATATAATGTTTATACAATTATATATATTCATAACATTTTATGTTACGAAACATTACTAAGGTGTAATAACTATAACATATTAATACATAAGATATTTACTATCATATATTATAATCTTAACATAAACGTTATATCATCTAAAATATATAACTTGCAATTTCATATTAATATATATTTACAAATAAATGAATATATATAACTAAATTTAAATTGCTATGATTATAATTTGTATACGTAGATATAATAAACTAATATATTTGAAATATATTAATAATTAAGTTTATTATTAATTTTGCATAATATATAAAAAATATTATATATGTTAATAAATATTAAAAATTAGTTTGGTGTTTTGGGTGCATTGGTCTAAAAAATTTGAAAATTAAAAACCAATAAAAAAATCAATTGAATCAAACATTTTGGACCAATTGATTCAATTAATCAAATAAACTAAATTGTTTTATCTAAATCATGTTTAATTATGGTGAGTAATTAATTTGGTTTAATTTTACTCGCTGAAAAAAGTTTCTCCACGAAGATTATTGGTGGCAGTGGAGGTTTCAGGGGTTTTTTTTTTCCATCAAGTTTGAGGTTTTGAAGGAGTTTTTGAGCAAACCAGTGGATGAAAAGGAAAAGTGGCAGGAGAGGAAACGGCATGGGTGATTGACTATAATATTGGGACGCTATTATTGGTGAGATTTAGAGAAAAAAAAAAAGAATTGTCCAAAAACTACACACTAATTAAGGAAGAAAGGAAAATGAGAGAAATCCAAAGGTGTTTTTTTTTTTAATTTAGACAAAAAATGAGAGAATTTTCAAAAACTACTCTAATTAAAGAAAAAAAAAAGAAGAGAAGAGAAAACAAAAGCTGGTATTTTATTTTTTTTTGACAATCAGCAAGAAGGGAGGGTTTTAAGGATAGTTTTTGTAGATTTTTCAAAACTATGCCGTTTTAACAATAGGAAGGAGAAAAAACTACTGTTACATCAACGAAATTCTTACAGAAATTTAGCCAAATTTCCTATATAATGAATAGTTTGACAAAAAAAAGTTTGTTTGAATTCAATTTCTGTTGTTAGGTATTATTTAAGGGCGGAGCAAGTGTATTTATGGTCAACAAAGTTTAGCCACATTTGGCATATAATGAATAGTTTGACAAAAAATATTTGTTTGAATTCAATTTTTATGTTTAGGTATTATTTAGGAGCAAAGGGGTGAGTAAAATCAAATTAGATCAATTATTCACCCAAACTAAATACGATTTGAGTAAAACGGTTTGGTCTATTGAATCAATTAATTAGTTTAAA